GAATTCAAAGTTGGTGTTAAATGATGGTTTATGAATGTAGGATCGGTTTTGCTCAAGAATCGTAAGGTTTTGCTCTAAAATTAACAATTAGGGCGAGTTCTCATGAGCGTAAGTTGACATTTCTGGCGTAATTACGTGATAAAATGGTTGGATTTTATTGGTAAGATATTCGCCATGCTGGATATTTGAGCAATCAAATTACACCATATTATCACGTAATTACACCAGAAATGTCAACTTACGCTCATGAAAACTCGCCCTTAAGGTTCTAAAGCCTGTCAAATTTGCAAAAAAGTAAGTTTCAACTGCTTGACATTGCTTCGACAATTTGACGTTTTATGCGTGAATCAAACGTCAAATTGTCGAAGCAATTAGGCAATTTAATCCATCTGTTAAAAAGGAAAATTCAATATGGCGTGGCGGACAAGCAAGCTTGTTTTGAATATGTTTTTATGTGTATTTTTAATAATTTTGCTTAGAGTTTTGCTTGTAACTTTGATTTTGATTATTTAATACGATATTTGTTGACTAGGTACCTAAACTATTAAATCGGGCAGAAAATAGATATTTTTTTGTGTTTTTTGGCCCATGTGTGGCCGCCACGCCATCTTGAGTGTCACGTGGTTTGAATTGCCTAATGTCAAAAAAGACCGAATTTCGTGGTTATGAATACTAGGCTTTAGGTGAAGGGTATATCACATGAAATCTGCTCCTCAGAATTTTACGTTATAGAAATACAATCCGAATATTCAATAATATACAGAGTATTCCATTAAAAATGGGAGAGTTGTACCACGACCAAGGTTCCTTAAGTCAATAGGTTGTCTGGTAATGGGTAACTTGATGACACATCTGGGGCGGGGTGCCTTATGGAGATTTGCATCGTGTTGTGACACCACAAAGATGACGTCATAGAGTTATCAGGCGATCTACCTCTCCCAAACAACCTCGACTACGACCAGCTTTTCTGAAACACTCTGTATAAGTATGCGAAACTGAGTTTTAAAAAAATAATAATTTCAACCATAAAACTTTTATTTCAGACACTTCTTCCTAAAATGTCAAATACTCGGTCAAATAAAAAAGGAATAGTGGGTTCCATTTATAACTAATAACCCTGTACCATAGACCTAAGAACATATTTGGCGGGCCGGGCCCCTACGGAACCCGGGCCCCGGTAATTTATACCGGCCGCACCCCCCTATGCACGGCCCTGGGTAGGCGTATGATTGTTGGATAACAAAGGACCTACCGGTAGGCGTAGGATTCACTCCCATTATATAATGATAAGTAATTTGACCTGACGACTCTGATAACTATTGAACTAAAAAAAAAGAAATTATTTTAAAAGGACCGACATATTTTGCGCCAGTGCCACGGCCCCTTGGCCCCTTAGGGCGAGCCGCCACTGAGTTGTGGTATCATGAAACCATTTGATACTGGGTAATCTCTGGTCTGTCATTAACGTCAGTTGAAACCGATTAGTTCTTTTCACGTGGCTCCGGTTTAACTAACCGGGTTACTTAACGGTTAGAGAAATGACATACCGTTTAATAACCCGGTTACAAAGTGACGTGCTGGATACCCACCACTCGAATTTGAGCAGTATGTTGCGGTTTGTTAAACCGGAGCCACGTGAAAAGGGTTATTGGTATCAGAAGGTTATGAAATGTTTGGGTATCATTTCGCCGTCGTTGTTTGTTGATGTTAGTTAGAATACAGCTTGAAATAAGTATTAAATGTGATAGTGGAATATCACAAAATAACAACATATCTGTTGGAAAAGAAGTTTTATCAACACTATGGTTGTTGGCGAAAGGAGAACGCTATTTTCATATGAGGTTCAATGTTAGAATATGTGCTATGTCGGAAAAGCTGACTTTTGCGCATTATCGAACAATTAACTTACTAAAATAACCGTTTTCATATACCATCATCCCGAGATGGTTATAAGATCGACGGACCGAATTGACACCAGGGGCCTTATTCTGTAAGAACGAACCGTTCGATTCGATAGAATTTCTTCGATTGTGACGTCATTTTTGGTTTGGTTTTCGCGCTACCAGACCGAAAATGACGTCACAATCGAAGAAATTTTACCGAATCGAACAGTTCGTTCCTTACAGAATAAGGCCCCTGAGCTGGGATCACGACGGAGTAGAATTCTACTTTCATGACGTCATCGGTGACCCATTTATCGCGTATTGTAGGGATGATGATGATGGTTGCTAGACAACCTGACGTCATGAAAGTAGAATTCTAGTGGAATTCTACTTGTCATGATCCCAGCCCAGGTTGTTGAATGACATACCGAAACACTTGGTGAAAACGAGTGGTATGTTATGGTTCATGATACCACATTCGTGAAAACGCCTAATATATTATACACCAGGGCTGGGATCACGACAAGTAGAATTCTACTTCCATGACGTCATCCGCGACTTATTTATCGCGTACAGTAAAGGCCATCATGATGGTTGCTAGGCAACCTGACGTCATGAAAGTAGAATTCTAGTAGAATTTTACTTGTGATTCCAGCCCAGGGTCGAGTTCAGAAATAACGCACAGGGTGCGAGTGCGATTTTATGGGTGTGCCTGAATTGACAATTGGCCATTGGGCCCATAGCACCGTCAAACATTTTCAAACAGCTAGGGCGTCGCACCAGTGTCACGCTCACACTGGGTGTGTCATTCCTGAACTCGACCCAGTGCGTTCAAAAACACACCGATAAAATTTACTCTTCTGACCAAGTGACCACATTAAGTAAATTTGTGCTGCCATCCTAACAAAGCTAAACATACTTTTTAACGCATTTAAAGTAGGGGAATTTCAGATGTTTTTGGTTGGCAACGGCGCACGACGTTGTACGACTTGTATTAACATTTTCATTTCGTTATTTTTAGCTGTCGTCAGAATTATTGACTCAGGACATTCTGGTGAATTATAAAGCCTAGTACTCATAACTGCGAAATTCGCATTTTTTTGACATTGCTTCGACACTTTGTCGTTTGATACACGCATAAAACGTCAAATTGTCAACGCAATGTCAAAAAAATGCGAATTTCGCAGTTATGAGTAGGTACTAGGCTTTACAAAAAAAATAGGCATTGACAACATTGTCTGTCCTTGTTCGATGATGTCATCCTAAGGGCAGGTATTATAAAACTGCTTTGACAGTTAACTTGAAGTTAACTTTTTGAATTACATGTAATTCCAGAAGTTAACTTAAGTTAACTCTGAAAGTACTTTTATAATACCCGCCCATATAACATGAAAAACCTATATCAACTCTCACCCTTGGATAAAATTCAACTCTTTTTCGAACGCATCCAATTTCGTTTGGTTCTTTTGCACGAGTTTATCAGGCTTGACCAATGAACTATAACCAAAAACTGGAATGCTAAAACCTAAAGGTAGCCTTTCGATGGTTGCGGCCGATTGCGACCACGACTGACGCGGCTGCGACTTGCGGCTAGTGCGATCTGTCGCATCCATACCCCCCCTTTCGACAGATGCGACTTTGTATACGACACGACCGACACGATTCCTTATGTGATCAGTTATTTTCTAACTGTCGGTGTATCCAGTACAATGAATTCTTGAGCTATTACAATTTTACTACATGAGGAAGAAAATGATGACGATTTAATTCTACATCACGTATCAGTGACTAAAAAAAAAGAAACATTATCTCTTATAATATTGTCTCGATATGCAGAGAGGCTCCTTTCATAAATTGATGGATTTTCAGCCACATATTCCATCAATTTCTCATCATTTTCGCTCGAGAACGATGCCATTTTCAATAATAAATGCTGCCCAATGCATGCGGCCACTACGAACAATGCGACCCGACTGCTCCTAGAGCGGTTGAGTCGTAACGGCCGCCTTGAGCCGCTTTCCAGTATGGGAGTGTGACGCCCGGAGCTACTCGGGGCGTTGAGCCCCCGAGCTGTACGTCCGCGTCAACCTATCAGCTGTCACATCCGCGGGTGGCTATTTATCTATTTATTTCTTGTTATATCTCAAGATTGAACATTTTAAAATATATAGTTTTGATTCTCCCTCATTTTTGATAAATAAAAAAACAAACTGCACAAACAAACAGATAATGAGAGGTGCTCTAGAGCGCGCCAATGTGCATACTGGAAAGCGGTTCTGGTCGTCGCTGTCGCACTTGTCGCGGTCGCAATTGTCGCATGTTTTTGAAGGAGACCTATGTGAATACATAAAAGCGGTACACACACGACAGGCCGCATTGTCGCATCAATCGGAACAGTCGCACTGGCCGCGACCATCGAAAGGCTACCTTAAGAACGAACGTGAAGCCTAGTGCGGCTGCTGCAGAGGGGATACCTGTTTTTGTCGCACTCATTATGTTAAATGGTGAAAATTGCTTCTAACACGTATTCCAATTGATGAAACATGTGAAGGGAAATATGACAAAACTTTCGAAAACGTCATATGTCAGCGAGCAACAGAAAAAAACAACATTCCCCTTTGTGGCATCTGTCTTACATGGTTTCATTTTTGCGGCAGATATGGCAATGTGTGCACATTCCAGTTTTTAGCTATAGTTCATTGTGCTTGACACAGTGCACTCCCTGTGATGTCACGTTGTTCCGTGATCGCTCCGACGAGCGACGCGACAACCATGCAGCCAAAGGAGTGCACCGTGTCGAGCCAAATAAACTCGTGCAGAAGTACGACGATAGACGATTGTTTCCCAAGCAGCTCGAACTTCTATTCTTAACCTTAAAACAGTAGGAAAGCGTTGTAATCATTTTCATGAAAATTCATGGATCGATTTAGAGAATTTTGATATCCCAGATCGGCTTGAACTGAAGGTTCATAAAAACTCTAGTCGAATCGATTATTTTTGAACCGAATCGATTAAAATCCAAGAAAATCGAATCGAATCACTCGAGAGTTTCGGCCATCTCTAGTCTAAAATGGTTGCTTACAAATTGTACTATTTCTACTTGTACATTCTGCAGTTCAAGTGTACATGGTACATTTCCGATTTCCTGCTGACTTCTGCTGTCTTTGTCGCACTCGCATGTCGACCGTAGCCTGTGCCCTCAAATTAGTCAAATTATCATTGGCCTTCCCGAAAAACAACTTTCTCGCGATCCTAATCAAAAATTCAAATAAACTGGTACCATGGCCAACAATGATAATAAACTCAGGTGCAGAACCGTGTACGCTTTCGCCAGAGAAATGTATCCGAAAACCGTGAAATGTGATATTTCCTATGGAACAGCAGGATTCAGAACCAGGTATGAGTGAGGTTATGTAGAATTATTAATGATTAATGTCCAAAGAGTATGATGAACCCATTTTCTTTGTGACCTAAAAAGATTAGTTTTTTTTCAAAGAATCTTTTTGTTATGCTTTTTAATTTTTTGATATTTGCTTCTCGATACCATATTTTTTGAAAAGAAAAGAAAATTTTAAAACTATAGTGTTCAGTAAAGCGGTGAAGCTAAACCCTTCTATCAATCAATAGATAACTGCCCCTATATGAATAATTAATTATTCACATAATTATAATAATTTAATTATACATAATAATTATAAAATATAAACAGTCAATTGTCTGTTGAAGGAAGTGTTGAATGTTGAATTTAAAACTAAAAATCCTAGGGGTGAGAAAGAAACCCTAGGGAAAACCATTGCTTCAAAAAATGTAGGTGGTTACATTTATTGAGAATCCGCTAACATTTCTTGTGGCGAATTTACACCAAACCAACTAAATTCAGAATAAATAGGAAGTTATACATCAGATTTTTTTTACTACAAGCTTGCAGAAAAAAAGTTACTTTTCCGTACGATTGTACTCTTCCAGACGATTTTTCTACTTTTCTGTACGATTTTTACTTTTATCCAAGATTTTCATTTTTTTTTTTAAATAAGCATTTATTGTTGAACTTTAAGCAGTACATAATACAATGACTGGTAACAAGTCCTATAATATAACATATATAAAATTCCTGATTAGGTTCTATACTCGGTTCTATACTAATCTGTATAAATATTATTTATGTTTGTACATCAACAAAATTCATTTAAACTACCCAACTAACACTATGTAATGTAATATGCCTAATATTAATGATTATATACTCAAATGCTGTTCTGATAATAATAGTAATGATCATGAAAACAAAGAGCAAAGATAGAAAAACAATATAAAAAAAAAACAGTAGGTATACCTATAAACTAAAAAACGCTCGAGAATCAATAGAAGATTTCATTATGAATGACTTTGGCAGAAAGTCGACAAACAAAGTCACATTACCTATAAATAGCATTGTCAATGTTATTAATTTTTTTTCAATTTTGGGCTTAAATTTAATAATTATGGCAGTTTTGGGAGAACGTGATGTGTTTTATTGAGAGGCGATGAAGCGATGTGTGTTTGGTGATTGTAAAAGTGATAGTCGAACGAGTTCCATTAAATAACGACCCCATTTGCCTCCACTGGAGTTTAAGGTAACACGGCATCTTGTCATATCTACGCCTCCGTAAGTATTCGGTGCATTCGCTATGGCTTCTTTGGTTGCAAAACGTTTGATAAAATTAACAGAAAGTGATGTGACAGGTGCTGTGTTACCTAAAACTTCAGTAGAGGCAAATGGGGTCGTTAATTTAATGGAACTCGTTCAACTATCACTTTTACAATCACCAAACACACATCGCTTCATCGCCTCTCGATAAAACATATCACGTTCTCCCAAAACTGCCATAATTATTAAATTTAAGCCCAAAATTGAAAAAAAATTAATAAGATTGACAATGCTATTTATAGGTTATGTGCTCGGTTATGTGACTTTGTTTGTCGACTTTCTGCCAAAGTCATTCATAATGAAATCTTCTGTTCTATGGAAAAAAAAATCAATTTACAATCAATGCGCATTGTCCTATTCATTCCCTAAATATCTTGAGAGGAGAAATTGCTTCAATTTTTTTGAAAATAACTGTGAAGATCCAATAATTATCTGGCGTACCAGCAATTCATTATATGACTTTGAAATTCTTATGAAAATGCTATTTTTATGAACATTTGTTCTACAATGTGGTATATAAAAATTTCTTTGTATTCTTGAATTATATTCATGTATACAGTATCTCACTGTTCATCGCGGTTCATCGCGATCATTGCATTGGGCTACTGTTGAGCTTGTCGGCGCTGGATCGTTCATCACGGCGATTTAAAATGTATAGAAAAACAGGCGGAGGAAAGAGCCATGGGGTTTGCTGCAGGCATAACAGAGATAGACAAAATGACAAGAAGAATCAATTAAATTTCTACAAAAAAAACTAAATAATTTTTGGAATTCTGGTTTGCGCCATTGTATTGCTAACAACACACATAAGAATGGTGCTAACTAAAAAAAACACCATAAATTGATTAACTTTCTTGTTTTTTTCCAGTTTAAATTACATTTTTGTAATTTTTCGAGAACTTTTTCTATTATCGGATTTCTAAAAAGATAGCGCCATTCGTCCCTATATTATAAATCGAATGCAAAAAAGAAAGTTGATATAACTTCAATTGTTAAAAAATAAGGTTGAAATTACGAACGCACGGAACGCAATACATTCCTTGTTTCATTTATCTCATTCCCACTAAGAAGTATTAATAGGAGCGGAAGAATACAATGATAGACTGCGTTAGGTGCTTCGCGCAGAAAAAAATATTTTGGCATTGAGGCGCATCCAATACCTTTAAATAAGACAAACAATCAAGGAAACAATTAAATAAAATACAAACAACAGACACATAATACTTGTCAAATAAAATCATTATAAAATTTGTCCAGACCCAGAGAATGATAAATTCAACCCATCAAAATGTTCCAAACTTATCTCTTAAATTGTTTCACTGTAGGCAGCATTTTTGCTTCATTTGGTAAATAATTGTATATTTTAATACTTTCATATTATATAATCGTCCCATTAAGGGTAACCTTAACTGCATAGAATGGGGCTATATTCTTGCCCAGATTAACAATGTGTGGATCAAACCGCAGCTCCTTGTCGGTTACAAGTCCAAGAAACTTGGTATCCAACTCAATAATAGCATCCCCAATAGCCAAGTCCCCCAAGTCAATTTGAAGCTAACAATAGGTATTTGTTTTGTCAAATTTAGTGCTTCAATTACTACTCAAAAAACACTTGTTTCGTTAGTCGTCCGCAAAAAGGGCCAACCTGTCATCAATTTCATGGCTTGCTAAATCATTGATAAATAATAGGAATAGAAAAGGTCCCAAAACGGAACTTTGTTGAACCCATTCAATACCCTGATTTATCGAAAATTTAGAGTCCATAAAAACTCTTCGTTGGCGATCAATCAAATAAGATTTCAACCACGAGTTAACTAAACCTCTAAACCCATAGTGATAGAGCTTTTGCAGAAGAATTTTGTGACTGACACAGTCAAAAGACTTAGACAAGTCACAAAACACTGCCAGGGCCACTCCACCCCTGATAAGCCAAGAACACAAAGCCTCCCTTGAAAGCTTAATTGACTACATAATCAAAATATTAGTTTCAGCTCTAAATGATGTCACTCTTGTCTTGACTTATTTTTCAATAATTTCTGATAAGGTGGGCAATACAGAAAAAGGTCTCTAATTTAATTCAATTTTTATTTTGTCATATTGTTTTGATTGAAATGGCTAACAGCCAATTAAATTGAATAGCTCCTAAAAGAGACAGGTAATAAAAACATAGTAGAAATAATTGGAAATGGTTTCTAAATAATTGAGAAGTTTTATTGGCAAACAACATGCCAGATAATTCTGATACAAAAAAGCTGCACAATTACACACAAGCAACATAATCCGTTTCAGTCATCGGAGAAACACGGAAGAGAACACTTCGTCCTCTACCACACCGCCTCTGAAGATGTCTACCGCAGCAGTAGACGAAACGTTAGGTAGAAATACTAATGGACCACGGCATTATAGCCCGGAAAAAACTTTTTTGCTAGATTTGACCGGCCGTGAAAGCCTTCATTCTTTATTCATAATCCGTTAATGTTTGGTTGTATTCAATGTTTTCAATAATCCGTTAATTTTTAAGTTTTCACTGGCAATAAAAGATATAAGTACGGATATACTTTATGATAAAATATTGAAATAAACTACACCTGAATGTTTCATTTCAACTAAATCCATAATCAAATATTGTATTTGTTTCTCAATCTGTTGTATTATTGTGGTTTACCAGTGAGAAAAACAAGTTATTGGTCTAACTCCCAAGAAAGCTTTATCAATAAACCACAAATCAGTTCAAACAAATTCTTATATGCATGACGGTCTGCCATAATACGTACCAATAAATTATTATGAGTAAGCAAAAATATTTATGAAAGTGGTTTTACTACTTTTAAGTGACCATTTTGATGACATTTCAACGTTACAAGCTAAATTAACTGTTAGATTGTTAGATTCAATCATTTACGATATATAAATTATCCATTTTAATGGCACACCTTTTATAAGCATCTTATAGTTTTATATTCATCTCACAGAGAGGCGTGCATCATTTGAAAGTTGCTCTCTACCAATTTACGATAATTACATTAACTCCCTGTTAATAAACAACAATTTATGAGCTCAATGATTCGTGCAAGGAACAGCACCCAACTTAAACTAGATTAATTTAATTTCAGTATATGAGAGCCAACAATAATAATTTTGAGCGCAACTTGTCAATTAATTATTTGTATTTATTTGCAGAGCTACAGATTTGGAATATGTCATGTACAGAATGGGGCTTCTGGCCGTACTTCGAGCCCGATTTAAAAAAGGTAAAATACATTTTTGAAAAAGTGAATGCCCGCATAGCACCTAAAGGCTTGGCAATAATCCAAAATACCATTGCATGATCAACTCTCATTACGTTTCTTATTCAGTCTGGATTCAATTTTGAGCACAACATGCTTTGCATACCGGAAAAGTAAATTATTTTGTGTAGATGTCATGCTAAAAGGAGGTCTAAGATTTCGAGCATTCTTAGAGTTTTTCAAAAATAATCAATTTTTCAAGAGTTTCTTTCCCTTACTTAATTACTGAACTAAAGCAATTAGTTTAGTTCATTAGTATTTAGGAATTATTTACAATTAAAATGCGTCTGATACACAAATGCTGTTTTATTATGCCATTTTTGTTCGAATAAGGGTTTTTCTTTTTGATAAATTTAGTCACTTTAATAACAACTAAAAATTACAGTCTTTTTATTTTCCATTTTTCTCATTTTAGCTGTAATTGGGGTAATGATAACTGCATCTCACAATCCAGAACCTGACAATGGAGTTAAATTAGTGGATCCGATGGGTGAAATGTTGGAACAAAGCTGGGAAAAATGGGCTACCAAGCTTGCAAATGTCACGTAAGTAATATTATTTATAGTATCCCTGAGTTTAATTAATTAATAACAAATATGTTTCTAAATTTATTGCTTTCTTTGAAAATATTTGATTCAATCAAGAAACATTATTTATCTTTCTGTCTTGATAATGTTATCTTAATTCCATTTAATTCCTTTTGATTTTAAATAGATCAAAACAAACAAGTTTTAGACAAATTCCAAAATTTCAATGAGGGAATAAAATTCCATAAAAAATAAGTTAAAATGCTTAATGCCTCTTGCAAGTCAATCATGTGTGGAAAGTAGATGATTGATGGATTCTTTAGGTTCGTTCAGTAGCGTAGGTACACTTGTAATCTGTTTTTTTTTAAACTTAATATAATTATCTATCAGACATTTTCGTTTTAAAGATTCATATGAGCTAAGAAATAAGAAGAAACCATTATTGAAGAAATTACAATAAAGATGCTTCTATTCGATTCTATTCTAATTCTGTAAAAAAAGTGTTGTATTTATTGTCATGTACTCTAACCGAACGCCACTGCTATGCTCAATTTTCAACAGTAGTGTGCCAGATGTAAGACCATTCCGGATTCCGGACAACAACGAACTTTTGATTTGTTGGTATATAAGCAATGCATTACGATTTTACACATTCTTTTTAATGGTTAATTCAAGCAATAATTTGATGAAATTTTAATGAGGAAATTTCTCGCGATATGGTATTACTAGCAGGGTGTAAAGTGTATCACACCCTACAATCCAAAGATATCCTCTTAAGTGACTCAGTGGAATCTAACATACCCAAGACCAGTTTATATAAAAACACCAAATCAAGGAATTTTCATTTATTTTCAAGCATTGGTAGGTTGAGCAAAGATATATTGTCATAGTTAATGTGCTTGACTCTTGACTTGACCCATTCTTTAAAAACCTCAAACCCAAGTTTGCTAGTTTTTATTTAATTTAATCTTATGTAAATACTCAGATGGGTAAAATTAATTTTCCAGGGACGACAAATTAGAAAATGTGATAAATGATATAATTAAACTACACGACATCCAAAACATGAACGATAGACCTGAAATTGTTGTCGGAAAGGATACAAGGCCTAGCAGTCCCAGTTTGTCTAAAGCAGTGATAGATGGTAAGATTTCCAAACTTAATAATTTAAAAACATATGTCATGCACTATTGGAATTATAACTCATATCGTGTGGGTATTTCTATTTTCAGTATTGGTCTTAAATAAACACATTTTCCCATGCCTAAAATAAGAGCAAATTTTATTAATAAAGTTTGCGACTATTTATAGAAGCTTTTAAAACTTCATTTCTTTCATTCCACAGATTATTATTAATCCACCCCATATTTTCTCAGATAAAACGTTTTTAAAATAACTTTCCTAATATATTTTAATTTTGATGTAGGTATATTAGCTATGGGAGGTAAACCAATTGACTATGGAATAGTAACTACACCACAACTGCATTATTTTGTCGCATGTAAAAATACTCATAGAGCCTATGGTGAGCCTACAGAGGAAGGGTACTATCGAAAATTAACAGATGCTTTCAAAAAAGTTAGAGGAGATAATTTTAATAATGGAAATTATACAAATAGGTAAGCAATCTAGACAAAATCCAGTGTTTATGAATTATATTACTCAAAATGGATGTTTATTTATTTTGTTCAGCTGTTGAAAAGCTGCCATTTGCTAGTCCATTTACTATTTTGTCATGAATACTTTGAATTATTTTAAGTTTGATGGATAGGGTAGATGGAAAATAATAATGTACTAAAATACTTATTTCACTTTTTTATTTAGAATTTTATATGATGGGGCTAATGGCGTAGGTGCGAAAAAAATAAAGTTCTTTAAGGAAGGCCTGGCTGGCAGTTTGATTATCGACATGTACAACGACGAGATTATTGGTTCTGGTAAACTTAACTATTTGGTAAGCAATAACACCGTCTGTAGAATACGGGCAGGTACTTTTGCAGTAACCAAATTTGATGTTTGTAGTTGAATAATCCTTCTCCATATTATTCTATAGATTTTGAGCTATAAATAACTACACTTTTGGTTGGGATTAAAAGCACTATAAGAACTTTAATTCAATTTAGTGTGGCGCGGATTTTGTAAAATCTCAACAAAAGTTCCCAACTGGCTTACCACAAATCCCAAACACGAGATGTTGTTCAGTTGATGGTGATGCCGACAGACTAATTTATTATTATTTGGACGAAAATCAGAAATTTCATCTACTGGACGGCGATAGGATAGCCACTCTGATTGCGGGATTTTTCAAAGAGGTACCACTTCACAAAAATTAGAAAACCCATTCACTAATATTGATTTAGGTCTTAGAAAAAACGGGTATACGTTTGAATTTAGGACTAGTTCAGACTGCCTATGCCAATGGTGCTTCAACTACTTATATAACTAAGGAATTGGTAAGAAATAATTGACCTTCTAGATGGCAATTTTATTAATAATCAATTCTAGAAAATTCCTGTTGCTTGTGTCCCAACAGGAGTGAAATGGCTGCACCACAAGGCCTTGGAATACGATGTTGGCGTTTATTTTGAAGCCAACGGCCATGGCACTGTTGTTTTCAAAAACGAAGCCAAAGAAAAACTTAGAAATGCTTTCCAGACTAACAAGTAAAAATATTTGGAATTTCTGTTTGTTTTATATTTCTTCATTTATTTTATACCTATAGTTTGACAAGAGAACAAAAAGATGCAACTTCAAGATTGATACACATTATCGATATTATTAATGAAACTGTTGGAGATGCTATTGCAGATCTGCTATTGGTTGAGACTATTTTACACGCTAAAGGTTGGGATGTGAGACAATGGGAAGAGACCTATACTGATTTGCCTAATCGATTACTCAAAGTTTCTGTACAGGTTTGTTAATTAAATTTGGTTAAAATAAATTTGCTTAACTTTTTTATTGTATAGGATCGAACAGTCATTACGACAACGGACGCAGAAAGAAAATGTGTCACTCCTAAGGGCCTTCAAGAAGAAATTGACAATATTGTTGCGAAATATCCGAAAGGCAGATCATTTGTGCGACCTTCAGGTAAGAATCTTGAGCGTTTGTTGATCTTTCTTGATCTAACTGAAATTTCCAGTATTTCCATGCCCCTAAAAAATGAGGGAGTTGAAGTTACTTAAAGTTTGATAATATTCTTGGACAAACTTCCCTGACCTCATGTAGATTGTTCAAATTTTCAGTGTTTCAAAATAATTCTATTCCTTATACCTCGCCTTATAACCTATCCTATAAAATTTGAAATGATGTCACTTATTGTAGTTCCAAAAAATACTTAAATAACTTTTTCATACTTGATGAAACATAAATTTCAACCGAGATTTCAACATTTGTTCATTGAAATTATACCAAATCTATTCAATATTACTAGGATCTGAGGAAGAACCGTGATATGCCTCCACTAGTTGCCCAAGAGATTTTAATAGTTTATGTCAATTTCAACAAAATCATATTTCAGGAACTGAAGATGTGATTAGGATCTACGCAGAAGCAGTTACAAGACGAGAATGCGATAAACTAGCGGCAGAGGTTGCTGGAAAAGTACACGAATTAGCTGGTGGTACTGGTAATCCCCCTGAAATACCAAATTAAATCCTATGGTTAAACAAGAAATACCGAATTAAATCCTATGTTCAAACAAGTCACAATTTTTTAAGGATTTGAATATGCAAGGAATTAAGTGCTACTGTGCTAATACACAAACATGAGTTTATAATTTCCAAATTTGATAGAAAATTGAACCCTAAACTTTCTAGTAACAATTCTTCTTGATGTTTTTGGGTTGGCACATTTAAAATTAAGTAGTGATAAACTTATTTTCCACAAAAATTCCAAAAATAAGTCATCCACTAATTTTTAAAAAAAAGACTAAGATTTTTCAATTAACAATTTGGCCTGATTTTCTTTTATCTGTTGAAACATTTATTTTTAAGTTTTATTGACGACATGAAGTATACTATTATGATATTTTGATTCTACAAAGTGTTTCACAACTTATCTGGAAAAATTTAAACCACATACATTTGTGAAGTATTTGAATGCAAAACCAGATAAAAGAGCCTAATTTATTACCTACACATTTCCAATTATTTCAAAGAATTTTTGTTTTGTTTTCTGCTCGACTTTTATGTCTTTTTAAAAATAACCTACTTATAGAATTGTGTTGTTAAATTTTCTTGGATAAGTTATCAAACACCCTTTATACTGGATGTCTTTGGTAATAATGCCTCCTACTAAAGACAATCAGTATGTTTAGTGAATATTTTTTTTTATAGATTATTTAGCGAATTTTATCAACGAATTGTTTCTTTTTTTTTTTGTTAATTTTATAAAAATCATGTTTGTTCCAACTAGAACTTGATAAGATTCTTGCTGGAACAGACTTGTACTTTTGACTGTATAGTTTGGAAAAAAGACTTTTTATTGGACCAAAGGTCCTATTTATTTACACAATTAATATATTTTGTATAATATTGTTTTTGGTTGATATTTTACAAGTTTGTATTTTTTATCTATAATAGTTTTGTTTCTTTTTCACTAATAAATTTAATACTTGAAGCTTTGTAATATATATTATGGTATATTTTACAAATGCTAGCTATATTGGGGTGTAACCCAATAACATAATTCAAATTGGAAAAAAATTTAAAATGGATTAAGAGAAACTATTGTTATTTTTACTTGTTAAGAACAAGTTTTATGCTGTGTAATTGACAAATTAAATTGATCATTCCATTAAGGACAAACTGTGTGCAATATTAGAGCTTCTTGAAGCTTATATCAAATTTAGGGCCGCTTATTCACCTTCTGATAAACTGTTAGGTAAACAATCTGAGAGATGAAAATGCAACTCCGCCGACCAATAGAATTATAGAACGGTAAATTTATCTTGAAGATCAGCAAGTTTATCTGAAGATGAATGAACCAGGCCTTGATAATAAAATAAAAGGTTAATAAATGACAAGGAGAATACACACTCTGAGGAGTGCTTATCGGCCTCTTTTTTGGTAAACGCCGTCATATTGGTGTGGTATCATTGCCGACGTCATAACTAAGTCGTCAGCTGTTTAAACAGCCTACGTCAAGGCAGGAAATAACATACTGCCCACATCACAACTGGTATCTTGGCGTGTGAGGAAGGGGGCAATTTTTTTCACACAAATCTTATGAGGATAGGCCATCCTGTAGTAGTAATGTGTATCATCCTTGAATAAATGATACATAAATATTAATCTAATTTTACTATAAACTGTGATAGATTTTCTTCACAACATATTCACGCAAGCCTCTTGCCAAAATCAGGGATATTACAAAAAACAATTGCATATTTCTAAATTAGGATTATTTTTTTTATACTTTGTATTGTTTTTTTATTGGAATGTATTTTTTAATTTATAGGATTTTTTTTATTTATTTCTACCATTTCTGTTTATAAAAAACCATAATCTATTTGTAATCGAAATTTATCAAGACATAAGTAGTATCTGTATTTTGGTAAAAATGCTTAGAGTGGTTTTGCTTTTGTCCTGTCGAGCATAAAGCACACAGCATTTGATTTTCACAATTTTGCACAATAGTTTTGCGTCTATCAACTATTTCAGTAGGTATCTTATCAAATTTTTCCCTAGGAACTCAGCTTATTTACTGAAAATTATAATAAATAATCTTAATATCAAATCTGTGTTAATTATGAAATTACTGCCCTAAATAATGTAGCTCTTAAAATATGATAATTTCAGGGTAATAAGATGATTTCCAAGGACTATTACTATAATGTAGCATAATATAATTTTTTTTAAAGAATTTTATAAAAGACAAACGAATAACTTGAAGCGCCATAACGTATAATATAATGCTTTTTTATAATATTACGTGTTTTATATAATACCCATTCTGTGCCTATCTGAGAGAAGACTTCCCTATCTTAAATTAAGACTTATATCCTACTGATCTATTATAACCATATATTACCTTGTTTACGATAATCATAAACAGGGTCCCGCGTGGGAGTTAAGAATATCATAACTTTGAGAAATTTTGGTTTATGGTTTATTCCTTTATAAAAATGAAAAAAATAAATCATATCTATTATAATTCCCTTGATACAAAAATAACTTTAATATCACCTAATTGATTTTCTGATGATAAATACATATTCATTGAGGTTGAAGAAAGTTGTCAATGATGCAGATCAGATATACTAAATGTTGATTTACTCACAAACCGACAGACCAAGAAGGAAGCTTAATAGACACAGCCATTTGCACCGCTATAACTTAAGGGATATTTAATCCAAGTGAATCTTTGAATATGACTCTTGTAGGAACAAAAGTCACATTCAAAGCTCCACTTAGATTAAATATCCCTTGTTATGGTTAGTAGTAAAAAAAAAGATAATATATCTATATCTAGGTAGGTGAAGTCTTCATTTCTTTTTTTTATGTAGACTTATAATGATTTCTTCATTTTTTCTATTTTTTTATGAAAACGTTTTTATTCTACTGCTTGTCGCGTATCGTATATCTTCAAAATTCCTTGGTACGGCCGAACCACTCTATAGTATGCCAGGTATGCCAACTCAAGATCCTGCAATCCCTGCGGTATGGTTTGTTGTGCTAGCCTCTAACTAGGTGAGTTGAGCTTTAACATTAAGGGCCGGATTATCAATAGCGAGTCACCTCCGGGTTGGTTTTAACTCCAGGGTGAGCGTGTGAAGTTGCAATGTTTACCCTGGAGTTATGCCTAACCCGGGGGTGACTTGCTATTGAGAAACTGGCCCTTAGGGTATTTCTGGCATGACATTGCACATGAAATATGTCTTGAATTATCCGCAGAATCCGGAAAGGTCGTGATGTACAGAGGGTACAACTTAAAAAAATAAAGCTGATAACGGCGCAGCTGTTCTTGGAACAACCTGTATAAAAAAATTGATGTGAAAAAATCTCAAGCAATAAAAATAAAATCGACGTGTCCGAGCGGTTTTTACAAAATACCTTCATTTAATTGATATTAAATATGTTCCATACTTTAGGTTCACCCTGTATATTTAAAAAAAAAAAACTCAGATTTTTAATTTTTTTTAACTCGCAGGAGTAGGGGCCCGGTAAAATTTTGGAACACGGGCCCGGAGCATCTTCACTACGCCACTGGCAGTAGCTATAGCTACCAAGTAGTTAAGCTACTAGCTTAGCTACTTTTTTGGTAGCTAATAACTTATTCAAGCTACTTTGAAAAAAAAGTAGCTTGTAGCTCTAGCTTTTGGTAATGTGTTTCAAGTATTCATAAGCTACTGTGAAAAGTAGCTAGCTACTAAAACAAGCTACTTAAGCTACTTTTGGTAGATAGTTAATAGTTATTTAGGTATTAATGGCGGAAAGTGTCATTTACCACCCGAGGGTGTGGTTAACGATACTCAACGCCCAAAATACTTATTATTACCTTTTTTTGCGCAGCGGACTCTTCTAGTTCAAAAATTAAATAACTATACCTATAATATAATGGCATCCATTCGACATGTTTTCAAAAATAAACAGTTTTCCCCTTATAAAGGCACGTTTCCACCAACCTATCGCCCGTATCATTTTCCGGAAAATTCTTATCCTGCCTTGCTTAGACTAGTTTCTAGTTATCTCTGTAGGTACCTAATTCTTTGCCTATGTTTTATGTGTCCTATTTTATTCTCGCATTCGCAGATCACTGTGATCAAAGTGAACTTAATAAATTAATGTCCAGTGGTTTTTCACAAAAATATGAATACTATACTTCTTAGAGAAAGTTAATATGTTATTTTCGTATGATGATATTATGAAATTAAATTAGGTAAGGCATGTACAGGGTGTCCGAATTTGGATGGTTTTAATAGGAAACGTCAATTTCTGAGCGAGATACAAAAAAATGAACCCCCCACTCCGAGGCTCAAATTTCTTGAAATTTGGATTGGTGCAAACCGCATTTTGATATCTTCAACCGTTTAGCCGCTAGAGGGCGATTCTCGATTTTGAGCAATACTGTGAAATCTTCATAACTTTTTTGTTTATAAAAATAACTGATTTCTGTAAAAACTTCCTAGAAGCACTTTTTCAAGCAGAATTCAGTGACGTTTTCAGTTTTTTTCTATTGGGCCTGGATTTCCGATTTTTTCCAATGGGACACCCTATATATTAATAGCTCATTAGAAAGCTCTGCTTTTGCTGATTTCAATGATAAAAATTTCGATAGGTTTATCTCTAACAGTTTTTGAGAAAAAAAAATATTTCGGCTTTTGTCATAAGAAACAATGAGTTAGAAAGAGACCTTTCTCAGTTTCCTTACAGATATAAAGTCCTTTTCTTACACATTACTTCTTATGACAAAAACCGAAATAATTTTTTTTCTCGAAAACCATTAGAGATAAACCTATTGAACTTTATATCATTGAAATCAGAAAAAGGCGAGCTTTCTAATGAGCTATTAATTTATAGAGTGTCCTATTGAAAAAAACCAGACTTTGGTCAATATCTCGGAGTTGGGACCAACTAGAAAAAAACTGAGAACGTCACTGAATTCTGCTTGAAAAAGTGCTTTTAGAAAGTTTTTACGGAATACAATAATTTTCATAAACAAAAAAGTTATGATCGGTTATGATGGTTTCACATTATTACTCAAAATCGAGAATCGCCCTCTAGCGGCTAAACGGTTGAAGATATCAAAATGCGGTTTGCACCAATCAAAAATTCATGAAATTTGAGCCTCGGAGTGGGGGGTTCATTTTTTTGTATCTTGCTCAGAAATTGATGTTTCCTATTAAAACCATCCAAATTCGGACACCCTGTACATTGATAAAAGTAGCTTAAATAGTAGCTTTCACTAATTCAAAATGTAGTTAAGTTACTAATAGCTTAGCTACTTTTTCAAAGAGGTAGTTGAGCTACTGAGTAACTTAGCTACTTACCAGGGCCGGCTCCAGGACCCGTGCAGCCTGTGCCCCTGCACGGGGCGGCAAAATCGAAAGGCGGCAAAAATCTCGGGGAGAATTGTTGCCTGCTCTGTAAAAAAATAAAATAAAATATGTTCGGGTTTTTTAAACTCTGATTTATTCAAAACGATCTGAGCACAGTTCTAAGAACTGAATAAGTACGCAACTTGTTCTGTTGTTTCATGATGGTTCGCGAACAGTTATGTTATGTTTTGATGTTATTGTTATTTGAGAGATGCCGCCAATAATTGTAGGTTGCATTGAAATAGTATAGTAATGAAATTATTCCATAAAAAACTTAGAAATAATCAAAATATAATATATATCATAGACTTTTGTGTCGTACTCGGGTACAAGTACTCTTCACTTTTATTCTAAGTAGGTACATTTTGAGTTAATCGGTATTTAGGCCACGATAATTTATGAATCATGTAATTGTACCTACTTGTACTTGAGCTGTTTAAAAAAATACCCGTTACATTTTATTGTACTTACTGAGTAAATTTGAAAATACCCGAGTACATCCTTTTATACTCGAATACCCGGGTATTTTCATTGTTTTCGAATACATTTGCAGTTACTGAGTAAAATTATTGGACTATAAGTACATATTTATTTGGCCACAAGTACATTTCCATACAATTTGAGACCTCTGTTTCTACAGAATCACTTACCAGTCAAAAAAACTGATTATTGGAGATTTGCACCAATCAAAAACGCTCTAACTGGTTTGTGATTTTTGTGAAAACTGTGACTTCAATTTTCTGGCATTTCCGTTGTTCGTTAATTGTGATTTGCAAACGGAAATCTTGAACTTTTCTGTGGACTATGACGATGTGTTTGAGAACGTAGATTTGAAAATTCTGAGCTTTTATAAACTCTGGACTCTAGCTAACCAAATCAAACTGTAAAATTGCTGAGCTGATTTATATGGTCTGTTTCTGCAGAAATCACAAACCAGTCCGAGCGAATTTCATTGGTTGAAAATAGTCAGAAGCAGTCAGAAAACTAGTTTCAACCAATGAAATTTACTCTGACTGGTTTGTGATTTCTGCAGAAACAGACCTATAGTAAACCAAAATGTGTTTTTCAATTTTTGTTGTGTGAACACCTATACTGGCGGTTTGAGGGTAAATTCTGTGAAATTCGGACGGAAGTGTGAAAGGGGATGTAACGTAATAACCCATGCGCAGTAATTACTACGCAGTTACATCAGCGCTTGCGGCCTAAGGTGGCATTGGACTTTCATAACCTATACTTTCATGTCAATAATCAAGGGTGGTTCAAAAGAGGAGGTGCGTAACAACTTCAAGACGACATTGATATGGAGGTGGCATTGTGTGGAATGTATTCATAAATGTACTCCGTACTTTTAGTACCTACTTGGGTATTGAATACTTGCAATTGTTCTCTGTACTCGAGTACATTTTGAGCGGAGTACTTGTACCCGGTACATTTAGCCTGTACTCGAAACAGCTCTGATATCATATGACATTGAACAAAATTAAAATCAAAAGTAAGTTTAGCAAATAGGTAGTACCGAGAGTAATACTGGAACAACAAAGTAGAAAAGTAATCGGTACCTAAGAGGGGCGGCAAAAATACCTTTTGCACGGGGCGCCGAAATGTCTGGAGCCGGCCCTGCTACTTACAATATAAAGTAGCTTGTAGCTTGTAGCTAGCTACTTTTTCCAAGTAGCTTGCCCAGCTCTGGATGTACACAAATGAAAAGGGGTGATTCTTTGGTTTATTTTATGACTAAAATTTTTAATAAACATCGATCCGCAAACGCTTTGTTACTGATCTACAGGGTGTTGAAGCTTTAATGTATTTATATTGAAAATGAGCAAGAATATGGCGGCGGGACCTCTATTGTCGCCACTGTAGGTAGGAAAGGTTAATTGAGTCACTGTAATTTCATCTAGCTAATTACAGAGATTTGTTTTTGAATTTTTTTCTCGATAAGGGTTGGTAATTCGAAAAAACTACACGAGAACAAAAAGTTTCTACTAAATAAGGTAGAAGATTTATTTTGTTTTTAGAATCTACACCAGCAGCGCACCGCAAAAAAAAAAGAGCCGGTGTAACCCAAAACTGAAAGTTTTAGTGCAAAAAAGTCTATGAATAAATATTTAAACCGCATCTTGCTACGATAGTCCGTTTTTGAGTTCTTCTTCAAGTGCCTATTCGTTCCGGATGTTGGCTATCAACATGGCTATTCTTACTTTGTTGATGGCGATTTGGAAAAGTTCTACTGTTGATTTGTCAAATCACGTTCTAAGATTTGTTAGCCAAGATATTCTCCTTCGGCCAGGTGCTCTCCTGCTATTAATTTTGCCTTGTAGGATTTCCTGTAGCAGCCCGTATCTATTTGGGTTCCTCATTATTTGGCCGAAATACTGAAGTTTCCGACATTTTAGGGTATCTAACAGTTCTAGTTCTTCATTCATCCGACGCATTACTTCTATGTTGGTAATTTTTTGTGTCCAAGATATTTTCAGTAGGTATTCTCCTGTACAGCCACAGTTCGAACGCTTCAATTTTCCTTTAGTGAGTGTCCAAGTTTCTACGCCATACAGAAGGACCGAGAAAACGTAACAGCGTAAGAGTCTCAGCTTTATGTCCCAGGATAGATTATGGCTTTTGAAAAGCGAGCCTATTTTAATAAACACAGAGCGGGCCTTTTCGATGCGTCATCGTATCTCTTGAGAGTTGTCCCATGATTAATTATTGTCCCCAAGTATGTGTACTGCCTTACTCTTTGTATTTTACTGTGATTGATGTATAAACTGTCTTCCGCGATGTTTCTTTCACTTACTATGAGGAATTTGGTTTTGTTTGTGTTCATTTCTTTCTATAACCCGTACTGTGAGCTAATTCTGGTCACCCTATCCATCAAACTTTGTAATCCTTGAAGACTATCTGCAAACATGATGGTGTCATCTGCATATCTTATGTTATTAAATTTAGTACCGTTTATAGTGATTCCTTCCTCAATGTTGTCTAGTGCTTCTCGAAAGATGTATTCTGAGTAAATGTTAAATAAGATGGGCGACAAAACACAGCCTTGCCTCACTCCTCGTAGTATATTTATTTGTTCTGTGTGATTGTCATCAATTCTCAAAACTGCCGTCTGGTTCCAATATAAGTTTATAATTATGTTTAAATCTTTTTTATTCATTCCTATTTGCTTCAGTATGTCGACCATTTCATCGTGTTAGACTCGGTCAAATGCTTTTTGATAATCGATTAAGCAAGCATATACATCACAGCTGACATCCCTACATCTCTGAAACAACACCTGAACACCAAATAGAACCTCTCTTGTACCGACGGCGTTCACAAACCCAAACTGGTTCGGTGAAATATGTTCTTCACAAAGTTTGTATATTCTTTTGTGTATTATCTTGAGAAACAGCTTTAAGGGATGACTCATCAAACTTATTGTTCTAAAATCACCCTAGGTTTTGGCACTTGCTTTTTTCGGCAGTGTAATAAATTCTGACCTTAACCAATCCGCTGGAATTTCTTCTGTAGTAGATGTTGTTGAATATACTGGTCAGCCATTTGATTTTATCCTCGTTCAATAACTTTAGGAATTCAGTCTGTATTTCATCCAGACCAGCTGCTTTCCGTGGCTTCATTTCCGAAATGGCGGCTCTCACCTCGTCCACAAGAATTTTCGGTCCCTCTCCTACAGTTGGTTTGTGTTCTTTGCGTACATCATGGAATAGATTCTCTTGAGTTAGGGCGCTTTAAAGTTACAACTAGGTGTTTGAAATGTCACACTGGATTATCAGGGACAATATTAACACGTGTAAGAATTTTTCAAAACAAAAGATAATTATCTCACTAGAGCGAATTGCAACCATTTAAAGTTCAGGGTACGGTTAACTGACGACTGAACGAACAGAAGACTGTGATTTCGGCGGTTGAGGCATCACAAGCTCCTGCATAATCTAAGAGAGTTTAGAATTTTTTTCTTGATTCACGTTCTTTGCCGGGTCGGTCAATATGACCAAAACGTGAAATCACGCCGCGTCGGTCATTATGACCGAAAAATGATTCATCGATTCTATTTTTGCTTCCAGAGCACCAACGGTCCCAAGCTGTACGGTGCTATGCATATGGCGTACCCATTGGGCGTTCCTTACCGAATCGGCCTAGTGAGCAAATGGCACATAAAAACTTTTTGAATTTTTCCTATATTGTTGTATTTTTTTAAAATTAGGTAGCTGAACACGTTAATTTTACTGAAAACATTTATTTATAAATATAAAAGTAATGACATGGGTACTGTGTGGAAAATAACAGAAGAATTAAAATATAAAAGTAATGACATGAACACTAAAACAGAACCGAAATCGAGACCGACGCGGCGTACAACGATCAAACTAAACCCTTCACGTCGCGTCGGTCATTTTGACCGAAAGTTCAAAAAATCAATTTTTTACATTTTTGATAACATAAAATGTTGAAACATGTTGTTCCTCAGAGGAGTTGTTCATATTCAAGAATGACAAATACCTACTTCACAAGCTCATAATCAAGGGAAAAATCGAAGGCAGAAGAGGCCCTGGACGTCGAACATCTTGGCTGAAGAATTTGCGTCACTGGTATGGCGAAATCAATGACTAAGTCAATCCAGGAAAGCAGTCGACAGTAACTAAATATCGAACACCTTCATAACCCTGTCCACTAATCTCTACCAAAGTGGCTACAACTAATTTTGGAGAAATAAAGTCTAATATAAGGTTCGTTTCACCAGGGTTCATACTTGACCTTGAAACTTGAAAAAAAAGGGCTGTGGTAGATTAAATCATATGACACATTCAATTTTTTTGACAAATTAAAATGAATGACTTCTGGTTTAAGAACCGACGAACGTTTTTGACGTTATTGATTTGTTTTAGTCAATTTTTATTTGTTAAACAAGGAAGGCAAATGCTGGTGGCAAGTACAAACCCTGGTGAAAGAAGCCTTACCTACACTTTGACATTTGAACAAAAACTTTAAACAAAAACTAAGTCATAACTTTAAAAATACTTTATTAAACATAAACGATAACTATAAACAGGAAACAAAAACTAAAATCGATCACAATATCAATGATCACCTCTTTAAACTAAAATAAAAATAATATAATTATGTATACAAATATTTGTGAGAATAGTAAAAAAATTAGTTATATTTATATATTAATAGTATGCATAATGTTTTATAATCTAGCTCGAGAAACAACTTATACATATTTTATAAACTAGAAACTTAAATGCAAAATAATTTTTATTAATTACAATAATTAATGCAGGCTGGCCCACGGAAATTTGTTACACTATTTATTTTTGTTACTTAATACATATCTATGTTATAAGTAAGGAAAACCTGAGAAAGTACATCTTTTTTAGCCAACAATAATACACAACAAAAAGACTCCTTAAATCAGCCGGTTGTAAAAATCGGTGAAGATAATGTGAAAGCCCAAAAAACTTACAACGGACTGAGAAGTTTAGTCAAGTGCAAGAAGTCTGAAGCCAAAATCACATTCCATACTTAAAATGTTGCTATTGTTCAACCAAGTGCAACTGGCTAATGTTATGAATACCCAGAATACCAATAGTTCAACTCCGCTTCACATAGGTGAAATCTGTTGCAAAGAAGACTTTGTGGCGCGTTAATATGGATCAAACAATAGAAAATTTCCTAGAACGTGTTTTTTGAAGGATAGGAGAAACTCGAACATTTTCAGTGTAGCTACAGATTTGATGGCTTTGTGCTTGAAAACATTAACACCAAAACGAAAAGTTGAAATAGCCTCTTATTAAGGGCGACAACAGTGTCTCAAAGTGTCAAGGTGTGGAACTGTGGTTTGGAAGCACTCCGAGTTAACTGTAGGTCCCGTCCACTGGAGGTTATTACCAAAAACAGTCTCATCGTATTTATACGGTTAGTGTTAAAAATCCCTAAATAATAATAATAATTTATATATGCATTTAACCAAATTGTTGGACATTACGCATTTGCTGCAAACATCTATATTCCAAAATGGAGAAAGCATCAGCAACAGTATATTGCGACTAGCGTCTGAGAACGAAAAAGTTACTTTGAAGAGATTTTTTGAATAATATGTTGGATGAGCAATAATAATTGGCTGTGTCGTAGTGGACCGTATGGCAAGAGAGCTACAGCAGCTCTGAAAAATCAGAAATATTAAGTTAATTTTTTCCTTCACTACCACAGTTGAAGTGGAAAATGATATAATAACATATGTTGCTATATATTTATTTTTTTTGAGTTTTTACTTAAATTTAGACTAAGTACAAAATATTTAATTACTTCTGTTAATTAGACGTTTGAGTTTTAATAGTTATTGTTATTAAATATTTTATGGGTTATTATTATTAATTGACTTATTTGGCAAATTGTTCAAGTGTGGACCAGCCTATGTTAGATAGGGAAAAAATAACCACTCCAATTAAAAATGATAAATGGAATATTGTTTAGCTTTTGGCAAAAACAACAGATTTAATCCTCAGAAAATAATAATTATTGACAAGGGAAATGAGTAACATACTTTTTCTAGCAGAGTCTCCTGAGACAAAAACTATATTTTTTGTCCCAAAGCACTGAGAGTCCTAGAAAAACATTATTACAAAACAAAAATATAAAGTACACATTAAAACTGTGATATATCAATGAAATTGCATTCTATTGCTTGATGTCAAAAGAAAATTAAATTAAAACTTTTTAACAAAAAGCTCAGTCTGAAGCTGGACGTACCCTTAAAATAGTTCACGCTAGCTACCAACTTAAAGGTATTATTAACGCTTAATTTATGCGCTTACGGTATCGGCATCGGTTTGCTGATGTGTGGGCAGCACGTAGGGCTTGGCTTTGCGCAGTCTCCGTCTCTCCCGTCTTTCACCCATCACCAATCGAAGTTGATCTAGAAAGGTGAATAAATAAATTAGCGAATTATATTCAACATAATCTTTATTCTCGGAAATACACTGTACTTATTGAGAAAGCTGTCTTAACTAATGGTACGAGTACGTAACTAATATAATTGAAAAAAAAAAAACAGAAAATAGGAAAAACCCAATCAGCAAAGATTTTTATAACTAAAACAGTAAATAAATGAGATGTATAAATACAAACAATTTGTATGGAAATCATTGATTTGTGTAAAACACTTTCTCCATGTAAATAATTCCTTTGAAATCCAAGGATAGTGTAAGGACTCCAAAAATTTCGAGGTGCTGAAATCCCAGAAAATATAATTAAACTCAATTGGTAAAAGCCTTTTTGTAGTCATTTTAATTAGAAAAGTACCTACGTCAGTTGCAAGATAATTTAATCTCAACTTATTAAATCTCCTAGCAATCCAGCATCTAAGCCCGTATAAAAATAGTATAAATAAAAAATGTCGAAATTTCTAAGCTGAACTCAAATTACATAAAAATTTTTTTTAACCAACACAAGCGATAAGCGACCGGATGTCAGATATCGATGTCCCCAATTAATAGACTCGTGCGACATTCCGATAAAAAAAAAGTTAATAAAAAATTATAAGATTAGGACGCGTTCAACCGGAAATCACTATACTCATGTGATTTGATTGTGTCATAACTGATAAACTACAACACCGGTGTTTCCGCCAAATGTTGCATCATATCCTAAATAAAAACTTAAAAAAACAAACAATTCTTGGAAAACAACAGTGTCGATTATCACTCGATAAACGAGGTCAAATAAGAGGATTGGTTCGAGAAATGCTAAATGACCGCCCACATAATAGATTTTTGGTGGGAATTAAGTACTATTCAAGCAGGTTACAATCAGATAAAAAAAGATAACATCCAGCAGTTGATTTCACAGTAAGATTTTAAGAATCAAGAAAATTGGCAGTGAGTTGAGTCTCCACCAAAATGAAATTTGACTTCACATTTTTGAAAATGAATTTCAAACTGACCCTAATTACTTAATACTCATTTTTCAAACATTCAATATTTTAATTTGAAAAAAAGGGGGTGATTCGTCGGTTAGGACAAAAAAAAATTAAAGGCCTGTTAAGTCTTTGCCAACGTTTCGCCCAAAGGTTTAGGGCCTCATCAGGGCTAAAATATAAATTAAGAACATCGAAAAAGTGCTAACAAAAAACTGAAGTTTACATACCTTGTACTAGAAAAAATATGTGGCTATAAAATATGTAGTGCGAAATTTTTCAGGATGGAACATTCGATTGCACATAACAAAATCACAATACCTTGATAAAATTGTAAAAAGACAAATTTTTTATTATTTTTTCACTTCCTTCATTGGATACCGATAGGAATTTCACTTAGTAGATAAAATACAATTATGATAAAATTAACAACTACAATAATAATTATAAATTATTTAAATAAATTGAACTCCAGTTGAATCTTCTCACTCTTGGGATAGGGGATAGCTGCATTATACCTTTCCACGTGATTTGCCAAACTAAAGTTTAATTTATTTAAATAATTCATAATTATTATTGTTGTTTCATGATTGTATTTTATGTTATCTAAACTCAGTGAGTTTATTTCATTGGGTTGAAATAAATACCGTTGTTGATGTTTTTTTCAAATTGAAATATGTAATAAATGATTGAAAAATGAGTATTAATTAGAGTCAGTTTGAAATTCATTTTCAAAAATGTAAAATAAAATTTCGTTTGTGAGAAATTAGTTTTTGTTACTTTGAAATCAATTTTCATTTGAGCGAAATTAGATTTCACTGATGTAAATTTAGTTTTCATTAATTTGAAATCAAATTTCACTAGTGTCAAATAATGCTGGAAATGGTATAGATCTACGCAAACGGCAATATTCGAATTTTTAAAACATGTAGTGCATCACATTGAAAATGGCGAGTTGGCGCTCAGCATGTTTTTAGATCTATCCAAGAAAGGCCTATGACTGTCTAGACAAACATTTACTCATTAGAAAATTGGAATTATATGGTATTAGGGGTTATGCTAAACTAAGGCTAATTTCATATTTACAGAACTGGAAACAAAGTGTTAGTATAACAAAAAATGGAAAAAAATCAAGGTCTAACATGTTAGAAAACAATATTGGAATAGGACAGTGTAGTATTTTGGGCCTCTTCTGTTTATTGTTTTTGCCAATGATTTGTCTGCTGTTATTACTAAACCATTTCAACATATTGTAAAATATGCAGACGATACAAATCTAATTAAAGGAAGTAAAAAATTAGTGGATGCGAAATCAAAAATCTTTTTTGGGTAGGTCACTGGGTGGTGTTATAGAAATAGGCTGGTTCTGAACCAAGAAAAAACAAATATTATTGTTTTTAGCACGAAACTATCTCCACTTGAAGTTTTTGACAGAATTTGCAAGTTAAAGCTTAGTCTCGGTGTTGGGCCAGATGGCATACCTGTTGTTTTCCTAGAGGGCTGCAGGTTTGTTTTGTCTCAAATTTTGTGTGATATTTTTAATTTGTCATTGTCTACTGGTACATATCTAGCAGCCTGGAAAAAATCGTATGTTACCCCAGTCTTTAAAAATGGACACAAATCTAACACTGAAAATTATCGCGCTATATCGAAGGTCTCCTTGGTAGCCAAATTTTTTGAAGGTATTGTTGCAGATAAAATTACTCCACATTTTAAGAATGTCATTATCGATGGACAACATGGTTTCATGAAGGGAAAATCCACCATAACAACTCTTTTAACTTACGAGCAGGCTTTGTTGGAAGCTTTCGGGAAGAGGTATCAAGTTGATTTAATTTATACTGATTTCTCGAAGGCTTTCCATTCTCTTAATTTTTTTTAAGGCTGTTGGTGTACAGGGTGGCCCAAATTCGAGCCTCATCATTGGGATCTCGTAACTGTAAGAGGTACGGGGTCGGTTAAATTTTGCACAATTTTATGACCAATAGAATGCCGTTTTGAAACTAGAAAGATTCCAAATACTTCCGGAGATATTCGGAAAAAACCGAAATTTTGTAAAATCGTTTTTATTTTTTCCTGGGCTTATTTGAAGAGCAATTTTAAAATAAATGTCAATTCATCATTGTCATTTTTCCCCTTTAAAAGATGGTGCTACTAAATTTAAAATTCGACGTTTCGTCTTCAGGCGGCCATCCTCAACTTCCTTTTTTTAAATACGGACCTGGATTTTTTATTTGCGATTTTATCAACTTTGGGCATCCTGAAACCGATACTGTTTATAATTTTTCAATAACACAGTAAAAAAAGCAGGTTTGTATTTAAATAAAAATAAATTAATGATGATTCCAAAGGAACGAAACCAGGAGCGGATCGGCCAGCAGGGATTTTGGGAAGTTTCCCGAAGGGCCGCTTACTTCCGGGACGATTCAAGCATATATGGAAAAATAAAATCCTCCATCTTTAAAAACTATTTTTTATCAAGAAATTTGGTCATACTCTTTTACTGGGAAATAATAGTTATTTATGTATCAAGGGTACTAAGTAGATGATTATGCCGCGAGGGCGACAGTCTTACAAAGCCGAGGGCCTCTGGCCCGAGGGTTCGTAAGTTGCCCGAGGGTATATATCTATTAGTACCCGTGGTGCATACAAACTTTTATGTCATGCCTGCGCGGGCCATAATGTGTACTTTATGCCCGCGCGGGCCATAATGTGTACTTTATGCCCGCACGGGCATAAAGTAATGAATTATATAGATGGTATCTAAGGTATAAAAACACAATAATGTACTGGTATGACATAAAATAATATTTGAGGCATTTTTCTGCTAGCCCCTAGTGATGACTCAAGGTAAACGCGCATTTGTACGTATCTGTCGCAACGAACACATTCATCCTCTGCTGCTTCTAGGCCCGGCCTTAATGTTAATCTAGGTGGCGCTCAGCGCCGGTTTTGCCCTGTACGTAGCTGCGGGATTCCCAACTAGGTAGAGTCCATACCCAACTTTATGTCATGTTACTGATGAACAGCCGTTAAAAGAGTACCCAATAGATAATAAATACGAGATGGTCAGCTACCCAGACAGCACACAAAGTCTTAAAGACGTCTTTTTTAAGTCTACATTAGGACTGAACATCTGAAGACCAAAAAAAGACGTTGTTTTGAAGATTCCCATAAGACGTCGTAAATTCATATCTTAATGACAACTATTTGGTACAACCAAGCCTAAAAGTGAATAATGGTTTATGTATTGAAGAGAGAATAGAATCCAAGACGTCTTTAAGACATCTCGTTGAAGAAGTCTTAATCCTAAGGACGTCTTTAGGCAGATTTCTGAAAGACCCTGGGTTTTGTAATATTACGACAACTTCAAAATGTCTTTAAGACGCCTTAAAAACCTCAGCAAGACGTCTTGAATGTCGTTTGTGGATATCTTAGGGACGTCTTTAAGATGTCTAGAAAAATTTCCCACAGAATTCGTTGCTCATTCAATTTAGAAGTTACCTACTAGAAACCATTAAAAATGCTACAGAACACTTTAGAACTTTAAGAGGTGTTTTGGAAAGTTCAAAAGACTTAAATTTCAATTCAGAATTTCCAAAAGCATTCTGTAGCGCTTCAGACATTTTCGGAAATTTCAGAACCATTTAAGAATGCCCCAAAACAGTTATTCAGTTCAGTTCAGAATTATTTTGAAACAATTTCAAAGTTCTAAATTGAATCGCTTTATTCAGAACTGGAAACCTTTTTGAACTCCTTTGAACGAATTTAGAACACTTTAGAGCTTCAATACGTCTCTAGAATACTTAAAAATATGTCACAACAATTAAAAAATTACTGCAAAACTTCTAGAATGCTCCAGAATTCTTCAACTTAGAGCCCTTTAGAACTTCAATAAATCATTTAGAACGTTCCAAAACACTTTCCAGCAGCAATTTTTTTCAATTCGGACAAAAAAAAGTAAGAAGATACTTGTTTGAGATTTTTTCTTCATAATTTCC